TCACCCTTATTTTATACAACAGCTTTGAATGACATTGAAGTATAATAATAAATAATAATTATTATTATTGTTATTAATAATACTTAAATCTTAAAATAACATTTTGTCATTCATTAACTTTGGCCATTAACTTTGCCCTCCCTCTATTTTATGTTAGATGGTCATGTTTTTTATATTATCTGTTTTATGCAGGGTCAAATAATTGGTGAATGGTCACTCTTTTACTCATTATTTTAAGAACAAGCTGTGAAACATCCTTTTTAGATGCAGTAACTGTCAGATATGCTGAAAATTAATCGAACTTAAAATTAATCTAAATTAAGCTAACAAATAATTATTTGCCTTTGTTTCAGAAATACCTGGGAAACGTAACCAGTTTGCCCTTCTTGGCTCTTCATATGATGACTTAAAGTAGCAACAACTCCCAATAACCTGTATTATATGTATCAAAAATAGATCAGATTGGGACAGAACAGTTTTGTTTTACTCCCCATAATATCTATCTCCCTTCCGTTTTCAGTAAAAATGAAAAATGTTGATTAACCTGAAGTGCAAAGTTAAAAATGTGTACCTGTGCCCCTACTAAACAGTTAATAACCTCTCCGTATAATGTGAGATTATATTAGTTGCTCTTTTTGAAAATCCATTCCTGTGCCATGTTTTATTCTTTAGATTCAGGATGTCAACAGCCTCCAATCCTTCAGTGATTTTAATGTAAATATATGGGTTGAACAGCTCATCTTGTTTCTTTTTTAAATCACCCTTATTTTATACAACAGCTTTGAATTACATTGAAGTGTTTTAATCCATAATCGTTTTAAGATTAAGGATTAAAATACTTCATCATTAGTATAATTGATCTTAGCATCACTATATTTTAAGTTGCATGATCATGTTTTCATTTGGATCTTTTTGGCATTAATAATTTTGTTGATATTCAGATGTTATTCCTTGCTTTGAGGCTGAATTTTGAATGTGATGATGTTGCTTGTTAATTGAAAGTTCTACTATTATAATCATAATTTTTACAGTATCAGGAAAGGAAGGTTTGCATATGGATTGTAAGAATTACATTTGTGTTATCTTGTGTGCTGTCAAGAGTTTTGATGGAAATGAGTGTAGTTTGAAATTGTGTAAGTAACCAAGGCCCTGACACTGTCTGTGATGTTCTTTATGATATAAGGAAAAAAATAAATTATTGTCAGTTTTACACTGGAACACTGCATTACTGAGTAAACATCACAAAGTGTAGGTATGAAAATAGAACGGTGAATTATCAGCTTCTCCTAAATCTGTCATTGAGCACCCTGGGGACCTTCAGTGAAATTAAAATGTTTGTTTAATTTCAGGCAGTGTAAATAAAGATGAATAAGCTATGATGTCTACATACTTAGAAAATCAAAACAAAAACAAAAGACTATAATTATGTATGGATTTTTTGCATGATGTATGGGTTTAAGGATATTTAATAGATTTTATGATATGCAGTGGAATTATGAAATGTCTGTTTAACATTTACAAAATAATTAGTTCAAAAGGGCTGGTGGAACCTGATTAGGAAAATCTTAAGAATATTTCTATGACACTTTTAACAATAAACGCAAGGCTCTGAAAGTGCTTCACAATAATAACCTAACTGTATAAATTAAATGCAGGAGAGAGCAGACTAGATGGAATGTTTCATTTAACACAACAATACTGTAGGAAAACTAGCCAAACAAGAGCAGTGGGGAAGAAAACATTGGGTATTTAACATAATAGAATATAGAAATGTAATAGAAATGTTGAATAGAAATAATAGAATATAGAAATGTAATAGAAATGTTGCCATTACTGGATAGGTTACTATCCCTGTTTGACCCATTAACTGGACTTGTTTACCAGAGTTGCAGAATGAGCCTTATCTGCACAAGTGTACTCACTCATCCAACCATGCCATATTCCAGAGGTTGAAAAGCTCTCATGCCCCATTTTTTCTTATTCATTGCTGTATGTGGAGTTCAGTTACATTAAATGTGATAAAAAATTTTGTCGGTGAACCAAGGTTATGTCAAAAACACAATGTCCCTGTTCAAATGCAAAATGTTACCATTACTGAATGGGTAAGTATACCATCATTGTCACAAGAGATCATTAACTACAAAGTAGGCCAGGAGCTGCTGAGTCAGCATCATCAGATGGCAGAAGTAGCAGCCAAAGCTACAGGCTGTGATGTGGCTGTCAAGGAGATGAGGAACAGAAGCTGGAGTGCTTGTGGTCCACCACATTCAATCTGTAAGACCTTGAGAAGGCCACAGAGTGGCATTCCAGATGATCCAGGAAAAAAATATGGATGAGCAGTACTGCCAGTGTTTCTCATGGAGGGGCTTGTATCAAGAAACCGTGTGATCAGCCGCTGTTTAAGACAGGACTAGTCGTGGTGTTTGAGAACCCAAAGGAAAATTATTAGCTGCTCTGTCACCAACTTCGAGTTCTTTTAGCATGTTACAGCCCAGTGGTGATAACACACTCAACCAGTCTAGGTAAGTTTGAAATGGGGCAAACAAGAGACCTTCAGGGAAGGACTTGTGAGAAATTGCAGGAACAGCAAGAACTACACTATGTTGTGAACAAATGCGTGGTACCAGGCCTGGAATGTTCTCCACCTAATCCCATAATGAGAGTAGATGGAAGATGTCTAAGCAGTAATCAAGGTCAGGGTCAAGACAGCCTGCGTGCCCTTAATCGGAGAGTGGCTGGGTATAGGAAGTCTGTCTTAACCCAGCTCTGAGACTGCGTGTTGACAAGAGTGGAATGAAATGAAAGCTCCTGTACAGCATGTGCACATGTGGAGCAGCTTCGCTATACATGTTCAGCTGTTTAGGGTAATTTTGGGGTAAACAGAGATATTAACCCATTCAGTTGTGGAAACAGTTTGCATTTGAAAGGGAACAGGCTATTAAAATTTTGATTGGAAAGATGGCTGAGAAAATAGAACTGACAAAGAAAAAAAAAAGTCAAAGTCTTTCTCATAGCAAACAACATGAAAAATGTCTTATGCTTACTACTTGTTAGTTTTGAGCCCATTTTCTTGTTAGTTTTAGGAATTAAAAATCAATCTCCTAATGATGTCTAGGCAACGTAGGTATGGGCGACATTAATGTTAGCCTCGAATAAAGCAACACATGTACTCCTCGCCAAAACTTTAAAACTAGTAAGAAGAGATTGGACCATACAAAATACGTTTTCATGTTATCTGTCTTAAATAAGCTCAATGGATGTTCCATTTGTATGTTTACAGATCATTTTATGTTTTTAAAGATTATCCATGTCAATACCTTAACTTTGGAACTAAAACAATAGACATTTTTTAAATTTCTTTGAAATGTGACATTCCTGAGGTCACTGTAATTGTGACCAAGTGCAACAGTTATTTTTATTTCTTTTTGATGTTTTTCTTTTTTCACAAAATGTGTCTTCATAATAGTGAGAATGTATTAAATGCAAATGCAAATGGAAAATCCTTTAAAGAGAACTTCTTGTGTATACAAGTAGTAGTTTTGCACAATTCTTTTCTCCTTATGTTTTGTTACAGAACACTAAGATGGAGAAAATGCATTTGTCTGGATACAGTGTTGAATTGGCCATAAAAAGTACAGAGTACAAAGCTGTTGATGATACCCAAGTGAAAGGTATTTTTTTTTTACTTTTTTCTTTGGTAATGTGTTAAGATGTGAACAAACTCAACAAGAATTTAGTTTTTCATTAATTTAAAATGGCTATTGCATGCAGACTATTGCATTTGCACCAAACTGAGTTCACTAAAGAGCACGTTTTTCTGTAACAAAACATCTATTTTTTTTCCTTTCATTGAATAAACTCCAGATGCAAATTCTACAGTGAGTGAGGCTGAAGATGAGAGTGATGACGTTCAAGGCTTCATTTTTGCCACGTTAAAGTATGTGAAGTATTTCAGAATACTATCATGTGACGTTTTGGAATTTTAATGTTAACATGATTGTAAATGAATTGCAATTACAGCAAATGTTTTTTTCAGGTATCTTAGGGTAGGATTTCATGACAAAGATAAATGAGAAGTTCTACCCACCTTCATTCATTCGGTTTGATTGCACAGTTGATTAATCTACCGAATCTGGAAGAGTAAAGTAGATTGCTTTTGGATTTGAAGGGTGCACAGGTTATAAACCAGAAAAGTTGTTTTCTAAATTTGAGATAAGTAGTGTGGTAAAAAAGACATTCTTAACTATGGAATTGAAAGTCATCTGTCTTGTTTCTGCAGTTGAGTTCATTTTGGACTGTTGCCTCGGGTTTTCTGAAGTGGGACATGATTATGTCAGTTTCTTCAAGTCTTCGATCTTGGCTGAGTGCCTGCAGGGAGTGATTGTTTTGTATTATAGACAGTATATATAGAGAGAAAAGCATTAGCCACTGATTTGCCTCACTATGTTGCTGTAGCCATGGAGCAACAAGGCTTGTTGATGGAGAGTTTGCACATGCATGAGAGCATAATAAAATCCTTATTTTATCTATAACTTCATTTTCTTTTCTGACCTTCTCATTCTACCACATCATACATACATTTCAGAGTATTTTATCGCCGATTTCAATCAATCTATTCAGTTCCCATCAAAGAATCTTTTTGATTAATGACTTTGTTAATTATAATCTTGGATTTTATTTTCTGACTGACACTTGACTTTATGTGAATGATAATGCTTCTTTGATTGAAGCTTCTACTCCTTATACCTTTGTACCAAAAGGACATCTGGTGATGAAGGTGAGGTGGAGGACTTGAAAGCATTTTCCACAACTTTATAGTTTGCATGAATGTACTCGAGACGTTTTCCTTCTTTAAGGAAGATCTTTTCTTTAAGATATGTTCTTATTATTTAAGAATCACGTATCTGTATCTTTTATGGTTGTTCATTTTGGCAACCATTATTTGTCACCAGAATTGTTGATAGCTTGTCTATTCTATTAGACAAGCTATCAGTAAGATACTAGGAGATATCCATGTACATCTTGATATTAAATCTGATTTGAGGGACCTAATACCAAGTATTGTATATTGCAGGGAAACATAGTGGTATATCGCATAAGTACTGTAATACAGAGATCTTAATATGTTTACATTTCATTTGAGTGGTCTGGTATTTCTCAAGAAAGGTCAGGAATGTAGGTAACAGTGGACAAATATGTAATGCTTTTCCTTTTCCAGACCAGAATTTCCAAAAACTAGTGTCCTAATATGGCGACTGGGAACCCTGTACGATTATATACAGTTCCATCAAGGGTTCCATGTTTTGAATGAAAAATTCCACTTAAGTTCTGACTGCTTGGTCATCATGGATGCCATGGAATAGTCCGCGTTACTCCAGTGTCTTAGCTAAATTCCATTGTGGTCTAGCACAGTCTGGCCCCTTAATTCAGTTTGGTGAAGCAGTTTCTCACTTCTTTAACTGATCTGCGCTTTAACTGCTGGCTTGTAATAAAAGCATAAAAAAGAGAACATCAGTGCAGTTAATTATGTTAACATTCCTCAGCAAAACAAATCCTGTAAGTTCTTTTGGTGAGATTTGGTAAATGTTTTACATGTAGAACTCACTGTTGAAAAGTATTTGGAATCTCTCAGTTATTTTCAGTCTAAGATTCACATCATTGGGATACATTGCTTTTGGTGTATTGTGATCAGAGAGATATAGGGAATTGCTGCTTTTTTTTTGCTAATCACTGTTCAGAAGCTGAATATGATCATAATGCATTTATCAGTCTTAGCAATCTTAGTACTGATAAATAATTCCCTCGAAAAAGGAATGGTTCTGATCTGTTTTGAAACTGATGTAGATATGTCTCTGCCTAAAAAAACCCACCTGAGTTCAGTTGTGTGTAATTTTAGACCACCTTCAAATGTTTTTTGAATCAAAGTGCTTGCAAAGGATTTTCTGAAACAAGTGCATTTGTTCCTAACTGCTACTTACCTGTTTGAATAATGTAATTCATAGGATAGAGTTTGCTCTAGTCTGAGTATCTAATGATTTATTGATGAATGGGGTTTAAATGCTGTGGTATTTCTGGACTTTGATTCTGCATTTGATATCATGGACCACAGCATTTTATTAAACTGTCTTAAAAACTAGGTCAAGCTATCTGTCAATATCCTAAAATAGCTGAAAACATACCTGCTTAATTGACAATTTTTGACTTGGCAAATCAGTATAAGTCCTAGCAAACATAATTTGTGGTGTTTATCAAGGCTGTATTCCTGGAATGATCTTACTTTTGTTTATATATTACCTTTAGGCAAGGTTATCCATAACAAATGTGTAAATTTACATTTCAATTCTCATGATAAACAACTTTACATCTCTGTAAAACCTGATAACTTTACTAATTAATCTTCTAGTATTATTATACTGACTTCAGGTCAATTAAGCCATTCTTATCACTTTCTAATGCAGCGAAAGTATAGTCTTAGTTCTAGCTTATTCAGTTTGGATTACTTTAATGCCCTTTTTGTTGGTGTTTCAAGTCATCATCATCAAGGATGCAGCGGGTGCAGAATGAAGATATTTATAAAAATAGATTTGGCTCTACTGGCTCCTCTGCAGTCTTCTAGTTTACTTTTTTTACAATTAGTAACTGAACGAAGAAGTTACTTTTCAGCACCCGGCTATTTTCTTGTTTTTCTGAGATGTCTCCTTATGTGCACTGAGGTCAGGTGCTATATTTACTTTTGGATTTTTTACAGATTTATTGTTATTTTTTATTTCTGTTTAGGTCCTTTTTATTGTTATTTTGACTGGATATTTTTTATTTTGCCATTTATATGGTAAAGACATGTCTAGATTCTCTTGATCTTTTTAACCATTTCATTATTGTGTATTTTTAATTTTATCTTATAGCTTTATTGTTAAGCTTTGTTTTTTTAATTGTCTTTTAGAACTAGGGGACATTTTTTATGTGTTCTGTGATTAGTTTTCTCATATGTTAGTTTAGATCAAAAGGCATGATAAAAATAACATTTAATATTTAATAAAATGGATTAATAATAATAATGCTTCTAATCGCAGTAATATGAATAAACAAAAATTATGTAATAATGCCCTTAGAAACTGAGTAAAAATTGCTTGTTAAACTAATGGAATGTCAGTTTAAGAGCTCAGTCAAATGAAACCCTTTCTCAAGATTGTGAATTTCATACTTTATGATCCTGGGGGCATGGCTGCATTAATGTTAAGAAAATAAGATCATTTAGACCACGTAGCCCATTTTGTAGTTAGTAATTGGCCCAACGATCTCTTCCAGCTGTTTCTTGAAGGAAGCCAGGGTATGGACAGGTATCTTGTTCCATATTCTTATAGCCTTATTGGTTTTTGGTTAAATGTACCCCTTGTGATCAGTTTTAAATGCACTCAATGTAATTTCCACTTGTGTCCTCTGGATCACATTTCAGATTTTATTCTGAAGACGTCCACAGGGTTGACTGTGCCATTCCCTTTGAGGAATTCTTGTGAAAGGATCATGCACAATTTGGGGAAGTTCTTTTCAAACTCAGAAAAGGAGGCACGTCTTTACACAAAGGGTTGCAGGGGTCTGGAATACGCTATCCAGTTGTGTTGTCAAAGTGGATGCACCCGTCTTCCTTCATTAAACCTCTAAAGTTTATGAAACTGCCTCCTCTTGTTTGTAACCTTACTTATGTTGTCGGCTTTCCCTTTTTTTTTATGGTGAAGAAAAGCACACCCTGAGCTGAAGGAGCAGCTAAGCGAGTTCAGAAAACACCTGATTGAGAGCAGTAATGACATGGCTCCTTTGAAAGTCTGGGAACTTCAAGGTATAAATGTTTAAATTTGTTCTGCCAATGCAAAGCCCATTAGCTGTGTTGTGGAGCATCATTATAAGAGTCAATAGGCTGATCCAATTCATCTGTATCCATCTAGGTTAATGCACAGCTGATCTATATCGGAGAACTTGAGAATAGCTGGCTGCTTCTTGGCTGTATCAAGCTGTCATCTGCATTGTTGTGACAGTAAGCTGCTTCATGCAATCCAAGGAGAAAAAGCACTAGCTTATCCTAATGCACTGTGGGGTGATAGGTTCAGCTCTTAAGCATGGCGTTTTGAAAAGGCTTCTTGCACTTGCAAACATCCTCTTTTTAATATTCTCTCATAGTGAGAATTCACTATGTCAAGAAAAGAGATTGCTTTAAAACTCAATGTCAAACGAATGACAAATCCGTTATCTCTTTTCTTGTAAATTCTGATCTTATCAGCCCTTCACACCCTCTTTCCTTGATAAATTTTTAATAGACACATTAAAGGAAAGGACACGCTATTAAAAAAAGTTTCTTGGGAGGCTTCGGAATCCATGCCAATTGGCTGGTCTTTTATGTAGCATCCCCGGCAGTGACCTGCAGGCAGACCTTGTGTTTCTGTCGAGTCTGAATTGAATTATAAATCATTGTAAGATGGCATTTTTCTCCCCACTGCTGTTTCTAATAATGTGGCACAGGCGTAGGTCTATAAAGGACTGTCACTACAATGTATAATCCATTACTTTTATCACACATTCGATCATGTGTTCACTTTGGTTGTAAACTTTAGGGATAGATTGGGGAAACAGTGGGAGTCTTACAATTTGATCTTCCAAAGAATACATATATAGCCTTCACTTAAATTTTTTTGTTTTGCATTAACATTTTAGTATGTCTTAAAGTCCATGTACTTTGACCTTTTTAGTGTAATAATTTGTAAGTTTGTTCTATTTAATTATAAGTAACATGACAAATTATGAGTTATGCCTTTGTTTTTTATTAGTAATATAGCAATATATTGTATGAAAAATGTTTTGCAGTGTGTCAGAAGGAAATGCATGAAATTCCCAGGGTGGATTTTATACACTTGTTTTAAATCTGCTGCCATTTTAAGAAAAATTGAATTACGTTTGAATAACTTGAAAAAAAGGGGTGAATTGATGACAGTGCAGCATGACTTTTTTGTTTTCATTCTAAAACATTCTAAAAGTAATTTGTTTCCTCGTTTTTTTTCTTTCAGATCTTAGTTTTCAAGCAGCAGCTCAGATAACTTCTGTGCCTAAGTATGATGCCCTGAAGATGATGAGAGATATAAGTCAAAACTTCCCCATTAAAGCACGGTAATATCCAGATCTAATCTAATGAATTAAACCCAAACTGCTTTTTGAATAATGCATTGCTTTTCAATGAGTATGAGTTCTGAAAATGAGAAAAAAAACCTGTGGTGGAATGCCTGTGTTTATTTATATACAGAGGACTAAGATAGGATGAGCATGTATTGTAGGTCAGATGCAAACAAGTACTTTTAAAGGTTGGTTGCTTGTAGCTAATTGATTTGAGAATCTCATATCTAGGCTCATGCTTTTCTTGATAGAAGCCAGGATATCAGCTTGCACTACATGTGCCAAAGATAATCATGTGAGAAAAGGCAGAGAAATGCCAGTTCAGCAGTACATCCTGAGCATACAAAAAGGCGACAACAGGTACTGTATCTGATCTGATGGCAGAGATTTGGAATTAAAATAGATTTTGTTATTTCTCTGAAATTTAGAAAAGCTATTGGAGACTGTAATTATTTTTATATTCCCGCAGATCAGTGACGAGAACAGTTGTAAACCAAGAGATGAGAAGAGAAATTGAGGAAAATCAGAAGGTGAGATTTCTTCCAAAACAATTTTGATTTTTATCAGAGGGAAGCTTATTTCTGAATATTCCGCTCCACATGGATTTATTCCGTATATAATACTGTAATAACTATGTTAATTATAAATCTTCAATGTTTTGCGTGTATCCTGAATTTCTTATTCATCAAAATATGTTATATTTTGATTTTGGAGTTTTTTTGTTTATGCATAGGCTTACATGTGAGGATTGTGTTATATATATGTTTCTATATAAAAAAATATTTTGTACCTATTCATGTCTAAAACAGTTTGTTTTCATTTTTATTATCCTGAAAAATGCTTTGATTTAATCAAAATCACTCAGTAGATGGATATAATCTCCTTCTTCAGCTCCCTACTTGAACTACTTTAGCCTACTTCTGCTGCCACCCACTGACCTGAAGAAGGCTCCATGGGCGAAACGTTGTTTCCTTTCTTTTCTCTTCAGCATTGAATAAACCTTTACTTGTTCCTTAGTAGACCACGCATGCTGACGCAACTACCTGCTTGAACTACTTATATTATCTGTCTTACAAGTATTATAAAAATAAAATCATTATTTCAGATTCAACATTACACATTCTACATTCCCACTTGGGAATAAGATAATGGACCGATTCCATTTATCCTATAAATATATTTAAGATAATCGCTGCAAGAGGGTCTATGCCAAAAGCCTGGGTTTGTCATTGCTGTGAGATCCTTCAATCTCCTATATCTAGAACTGGAATCCCTGTTCTTCTTCACTGGGAGCAGGGATTGCTATTCAGATTCTCTCAACTCTTTGAGTTCTGCTATTGTTCTCACTGCTTCCTTCATCCACGCAGCATAGCGGGAAACTGGCAAATTGTTCCTGAGATTGACTCCCACAGATGTCTGTTTTGTGTTTTAAGATGTTCAATATGCTTTATAAAGTGAGCTGAAGATAACTAGCGTAAATCTTAACTTACATCACTTTGGTAAAAAGGATACATGAAGAGCATGCTCTGCATTCACTTAAGTGCTTATCATATAACTTCTTGTATGTTTTGCATTTTTTAAACTTTTAAAGTTAAGCATTTGGCATATCCCCTTGATTTGGAATGATATGGTGCTGCCACAATAGTCTTGTGTTATTTATAACATTGCAAATATAGTAATTTCTAGATAAACCTTTATTAAACCAGCAATGCCAACTGAGAACAAGTAGTCATTTGACAATTTTATATGGCTGGATTTTGTACTGGATGTGATATTCTCAACACAACTGGAAACTAAGGAGAAGAATAAAGAGGGTACAAATGGTTGTGGGAGAGTGGAAGAAGCTGCTCAGCCATCCTGTTAGCTTCATTTAATAATAATAATAATAATAATAATAATAAGGACACTTGCCACTGATGTATAGCACCCACCTGGATGATGTAAGGCAAAGTGCTCTGGTATGCTCACCTCACAATTAAAAATCTGCTGGCCCCTTCTTGTTTGAAAAAATTCTTACAGTGCTTTGCTCAAAGGTACAGTAGCAGTATCCCACCTGAGACCTGAACCCACAACTTTCCAGGTATATCCAGAGCCCTCTCCAATCCTCCGTGATGCTTTTTTCATGTCATATTTCGCTTATTGGCAAGTAGAAAAGAGAAAGTGGTAAATCTAGAAGTGGCAAAACATGAACAATTAGATAATTTAATCCTTTCAGAAAGTTTTATTTCAACTATATAACCCATAATATGTTTGAGTATGACATAACAGGATACTCTTACTACAGTATACAGTATACAGTATACAGTATGTCTGCAGCTTTATACTGTATGTCTCCTTTTGCACTTGGCAGGACACTCGAATGTGAAATGACAGTGTGGCCACACATGTGAAATTTGGGTTTGCATGTGCAGAGGTGCTTTTTTTGGCGCTGGTTGTAATTATACTGGATGAATGCCATTTGTGATCATGTTCTAGGATTGTTGGTGGCTCTATTACCACAACATAAAGATACCAGAGAATCCGGGTCATTCTGTCCACCATCACTAGACTTTAGCACATACAGTAACACCGGATAGATACCTAGCTTTGACTCAGTAATAGAATCATTAGATTCAGAGGGACCATCCGAGAGATTACCTCCACACAACACCTAGGGCTACAGACTTTCAGTTTTGAAGGTATGTTTTGACTGAACCTTGACAGTAGCTTTACCATCTCTTAGTATAATCTTATCAGGTCTTGGTAGCTAGGCCAGTGTAAGCCTAATCAGTACTGGGATAGAAAACTTCCTTGTAAAACCATGGTGCTGTTGGTGGACAATGCATGAAACTGTTAACCAAAATTCCTGAATTAAACAATGATTCAGTATAGTTGCCAGTACCACTGTGCTGCAGTGCTACAGTTTGTGGATCAAGATTAATTTCAGCTGACTGGATGTTGGTAGAGGGTATTATTTTCTCAATTAAACCTTTTTATGTCTCATTTTGTGATGGTGGAGCAAGTATATTTCACCACTCAGTCATTAAATGTTTAGTGAGTTCTTTATAACAGAGCATAGTCATTCTGTTGGAAGCCAGATAATGGAGAGGAGAGCTGATGTCACAGCCTATGCCGATTAATATCAGTGTAACCTCACTTTTTGGTGTTCTGTTAGTCATGGTTGCAGACCTGTGCTCTACCTTTTTATACAGCACAACCCATGCCAACACAATAATTAAATGTATCGTCATAATAATGCTCATTCCTAGAAGCCAGAGGTCACCTAAACCTTAATGAATCAACCTGACATCATTTTCATACACAGTACATGCGTGCAACTGTACATCTTCAGGTCTCTTCCCAGCTTAGTTGGGTAGAATTGAGCATTGGTTTCTATACCATTCCTTTTGAATGTCTATGATTTGACTAAATGTAGATGTCTTGGGTATTTCTGACTGATATAGGGGCTTGTAGCTTATTTTCCGATGCCCATACATCATAACTTGTAGACCTTCAGCAAATACTTGTTAACAAAAGATAAAAATAATGTAAAAAGCCAAAGCTAGTATGAAACTAATTGCATTCCATCTAGTATTTATCTTAGATACCTAGTTGTTTCTAAATTATTTAAGTGCGTAAAATATGTTCTTAAAATAAATATATATTTTTTAATTTAGGATCTTTTTACTTTTCTTGCGTTTTCTATGAGAATGTAATTTCTGTTTCATAACAGTATTGACAGGCAGAAACAAAGAGATTGACTTCCCAAATCATCAGCAGCCTTGGAAGTAGGCACAATATATCTGAATTTGTCAAGCTTTTTGTTGTTCCTGATCAACAGCGAAATAGATTGAAGGGTATTAACAGTTTTTGTTTTTGCCTGGAGGTACTGCATTTGATAAGCATAGTCTATAAATAAGTTAATGACACCAGCTGCGTCTGCGAAATCAGTTACACACACACACGGGCCTATCAGAAAAATATTCTGTACAATACTGTTAATTGTGGACTTTATATTGGACATAAAAGTGTACCATATGTTTTATGTTTAGCCAGTAATTGACAGGGCTATGATGGTGTGAAGTGGCATTTTCAAGAAGGCCCTTTTTGTGTGACTGTTCCTATAACTTTCATCCTTCAGAAAATGGTGGAGAACCAGGAAAATCAGAACTGAATAGATATGTATGTCAAAAAGAAACGAGTGAACATCTGTGTTAGTCATCATTTAAATGTTCCATATATTCATTGCAATGTAATTGGCACCCAGTTCACTTGAATTATTTCTTAAGGGTATCATTGTGACTGGGATTTCAGATTCTTTTGATAGCACAATTAAATTCTCAGAGTTTTGTGGGAACATAAGTACTGTTATAAGAAATTAGGACTTAAAACTGTAGTAGTACAACGAGTGCTTATCTAAATTACTCCTTGTAATTTAAGTTTTACTAGCACATCCTGCTAAACACAAATCTTAATCTCTTCGTTCACATCTTCAAACAGATCCTAATACACTCAAAGAACACAGAAAAACATGTCTGTTTTCAAGCACTTTCACTTTGGTTTTCTTCTGTTATAATTGCTCTGCCTGCCTTTCCCTGCTGTATTGCAAGAATCAGTGTTTCTCATAGTGTTGTTTTTATTCTAAAGATATGTAACTTGTAGTTATCATCACTGAGTGTGCTGTTTATAGTGTGTATATAATAATTCAATGCATATGGGATGGCCAGTTTTTTTTTTTTTATATATACCCACACTATTTTTAATCGAGCCCTGCACCAGTGTTGAGGCAAACAAGGACTGTGAATGCCCTCCGCTGACAAATCCACTCACTATTTTACAGTCACATAGTGCCTTACAGGAACCTTAGCACCTGGTGGAGGAACAATTTATCTCTCACTGATGACTGTGCTGGCTCACAAGTGTCCAGATAGGCTATGAGCAGATAAAAATCTGATTTAATCCAGGGGAATTTTGCCAGATGTGCTGATGAAAAAGCCCAGGCTTGAACTGGCAGTGTCTGAGCCACAGTCTGTGTCTGCCTGCAGTCCAACTGCCAATATTTTTTTAATTTGTTCAGGTTTTATATATACATAAATAAATAAGAAAGGTTAGAAATAAGAGGAGTAGTTAATGGCTAGTTGATGCCAGATGGTTTTTGAAAGAAACCAGAGTATCAGCTTCATCAAGCTTGGCGCTTTGTTCCATACTCCATATTCAAGTAAGTGTACTTGAAAACTCCACATCATTTCCATATGGTCATTATGTTTTCTAGTCAAGAATAATCTGTGGGTCACACAGACTGCTCTAGCCAACAGACTTCTTCAAGTGGAAATTTTAAGATTCGAGAATATTTAATTCCAACGTGATATTCAGTTTTACTCTTGCATGAAAAACCAATTGATTGTCCGGACAAAAATGTTTCCAGTAATAGAAATTAGTATTATGGCATTACTGCATGCTTTTGAAATACTTAAAATATGTATTAGCTTTTTTGGTGGCATACATTTCAAATATGTAGAAAAGTATATCAAGTTATATATTAAAGTATATAATGAATACAGTTATGGTTAGTTTTTATAGCAGACATGATAACAGCTAGGTGTCACAAACATAACAATGTAATCCAAGAAAACCACAATTAGCTGAACAACCACAATTTGAAACTGCTAACTTAATTAGCAGTTTAAAAAAGCAGCATGAAAAAACCCTTCCTTTGGATGAGATATGGTACAAACCTCTTATTAATGCTCTTCATGTATCTGCTGTCTTTATCTTTTTTTTTAAGTGCAAATGTGCTGTATAAATGCAGTTTTATCACTAGCAAAGTTGTTGGCACAACCACAGAAATAATGATAGGTGTATTAGAAGGATTTCTTTAGCTGTTTTTCTACTACAGTGTAAGGCTGCAGTTATTAGTTAATAAATTAGTTAATAAATTAAGTATTGCAAGTCAAAGTGAAATGCTTTGTTTTTTTACATATACTGTATGTGAAGCAGAAAATAAACTGAAGCAGACGTCTGGCATAATCGTAGGAAGGTACCTGAAGCAGTGGTGTGAAGCTAAAGCCATCTGTACTTCTGCAAGCTCTTCTTACCACTGAGCTGTTGAGTCTCCAAAGGATTCAGAGTTGGTGGTTGAAGTTATCAGTGGAAATATCCTTTCATACCCATAGCTATTTGGCACAACATGAAAGTATTCGAGAGGCGTAAATCTGAATTGAATGTGCACACAGAACCTGTGTCTTTCAGCTGCTGTGTCACCACTAGTACTGTACAAGCTGTGTTGAAGACAAAAGCTTCTATGATGGTTCCTTCACTCTGGCAGGTCACTGAGGGTTTCTCCAGTTCTGCCCGCTAACCTGAAACACTTCCTCCCAGCTCTTATGAGTAAAGGTCAAATGTCTTTAAAGCCCAGTCAGCAGTGAGAGCATTCTGCAAGACCACAGCGCTATGAGCATGATAGGACTGTCTTGTACTATACAGTATATGGAACAAGCAATAGGTTTATTCCATGCTGAAATGAGAAGAAAGGAAACCCAACGTTTCGTCTGTGGAACCTTCTTTCAGGTTCTTTCAGCATGGAATAAACCTATTAGTTGTTCCTTTGAAGCCTACGCATGCTGACGCAGCACCCCACCTGAACTTGTCCTGTATATGTTGTCCAGGGCCTCTCGCTAATTGCCTGTGCAAAAGCCAACATTACAAGGAGACCACGAGGCACTAATGACTCTATAATTTTTTATAAAAAGGCAGAAGTCTATGTATTAAGTTGTCGGTGAGTGGAAGCTCAACAGGACTTTCTGTGGCAGTATTTCAGCAACACAGTCGAGTGCAATGTTTAGTTGCCTCTAAACATTGCACTCGATTGGATAAAAGAGTACTCTTCCTGTTGTGGCTTTCTACTTAATGGGTGTGGAGCTTGCTGTGTAAGCTGCTCATAACTTTCTCTGCTTAAAGCAAAAAAGAAGTCTAAAATGTATTTTGGGTTTATTAAAAAGTTTTATCTGCTGTGTTTTGTTTTGCCCAGGAACAAGTACATTTAATTGTTCCTTGACAAAACTGCATTAATTTGTATGGAATCTAAGATTTCAAATACACAATGCCCTCCTTATTTATTCATATCCGCAGTTCTTAAATGTTATACAGCAGTCTTAATTGCTGTAAAACATTAATCGCATTGCACAGAGCAAAGTCATATTTGTGATAGTCTAAAACAGAAGGGTCACATGTAATCACATTCCTGCAGTTAGTATTTTATAAATCCTGCTTCGGCAGGGAATACACTGATTTCCCTTAGTATGCTCTTCTCAGAGTGGATTTTTTACTGTTCTTCCAGGCTGAAGTGCTCTAGAACCTTCCAACCTTTGAGTTTCAGCTATTGAACGTGTTCTTGAGTTCAAACCACAAACATGGGATTGAGATCTGAGGATTAAGTTGATCAGTTGTGAGATCATTTCTAGTTTGAGCGTTTAAATGCATGTGATGTTGGAACAATCAATCGATCACATCTATCTTTCCAGTCTGATTGCAGCCTCGCTTGGAGTAGTATACCAAATCTTTGCAATTATACAGTATTTGTCATTTTTAATTAATTAATCATATTTCTAAGTGTAGTATTATTGTTTAAATTAAAAATGACTATGGATGTATTAAGTTGGTTATCATGTTCACTACTTGATTGTTCATCATTTCCTATACTGTTGTTTGGTGATTGAAAACGAATCTGTTAAGGTTTCAGTGTATTTAGATTTTCTAAATCTTTTTAATAAAGCTTCCTTTTAAATTGAATTCTTAGATTGCTAGCAGTAGGCATTCTTGTCAAAACATCTATTTGGATTCAGAGCTGTTTAATGGACAGAACGTTTACATGCTTACTTTTCTTTTTTTTCCAGTATCTCAGTGAAAAGCTAGGAATTCAACCTGGTGAAGGAGGCCTGTTCATTAATGGACTTCATATTGATTTAGATATGCATACCCCTTTCAGGTAAGGCTTAAAACATGCATCTACAGTACATAATACAATTTGTTAAATCAATTATTTTATACCTGTAACATGTATGTGTTTCTTAATATTTGGTTTAGATGCTAGAACTACTCCTCCAAATTGTAAGTGAATACCTTTAAGTGGCACCTTTCCATATGTAGTTTCTGTCAGTAAAACCTTAATAATTAATGCATATTTTGCTTTTTGTTTCTTTTAAGCATTTTAGATATTATTAGAAGAGAAGGTAAAGTTATGGAGGGTCTTCATAATCTAGGTATCAAAGATGATGACTTAAGTAAACTTTTGAGGCTCAATGTACATCCTCTGGAAGACACCTTTGCCCTAGACATTCGACATCCTGCGATAATGGTGAGTATCTGTTATGGCCTGTTGTCCAGCACAACAGTTAGACACTGCTTTTTTTTACTCTTAGACAAGCATGTTACCTTGTGCCTGAGAAGCAAGATGTATTTGACAATGTGAAAGCAAATATGTGCTGCATGATCTGATCATTTGTGTGTTTGTTAAGCATTTATGTTTGTGGCTTACATTGTGGTTATTTGGAGAACCTGTGTTCTGGCTTATGTATTACCTAATCACATTGACAAAGCTCTTTAAAACAAAATCAGCAAACTCCACATGAAATGCAAAAGTAGTTTTGTTTGATTGCCCCTTTTGAGGAAGGGATCGCACATGTCCCCAAATACCTCAATGCACATAAAAATATTGTGTAAGAAAGTGGGACTTGAAGATGAAGCTCGTAGGTTTTTTTTTGGCACAATATTCTTGCCACTCAAATTTCCAGCTGTCTTATGAGATGAATTATTAGATAGAGAATGCTGCTTATGGTTTTGCTTTACACTTCTAGACTCCGCTAAATAAAGATTTTAAACATTGCGCGGCTGTCTGCGAATAAAAGTAATTTGACCAAAAGAGACTCCTTCTTGGATGATATAAATCTAAGTTTTCGATCACCCACCAGGCAATTCGTTTTAACTACTTACCAATTTTGATTACCTGCAGAGGAATTGCACTGTTTTATGTACGAACACCAGTCTTGCTCACAGTAAAGTTTCTCCACATGAGGCATTTGTTTCCAGGTTGAGGAGAGGTGGCTTGGGGACTGACTGGTATAATGGATTACTTGGCTGTCCTCTGCCTTTCCTCACGGCACAGGAACTCATTTCCCTCAATCCACTCAGGAGTTAGGTGAAGCAAATGTATTATTATCTCCCTGCTCCTGGAGGAGTGCTACAAAAGCTGTGGCATTTTCTGGTCTCCAGCACAGACGAGCAGAGCTAAAAAAAA